CTTGCCCTATAGCAAAAATCCTTAAAAAAAGAAAAATATGCAGGGTAGGGGGAAGGCAGCGGTTGGCACAGTGGTTAGGGTGTTGGACTCCTACAATGGCCAGTTGTGGTTCAAGTCCCAGATCCAGCAGCTAAAAACAAACTGGGTATGTATGTGCCCAAAATCCCAGGAGGAGAAGGGATTGTGGCATGGCCGTCTCACTTGAGGGGTGATTTCTCACTTTCTCTCTCACTGTCTCTTTTTATATTTTTAAGAGTTATTTTATTTAACTTTATTTATTTTTAATTTGACCAGAGAGGGACAGAGAGAGAGAAAGTTCCAGGACTTGAATCACCGTCAGCCATGGGGATAGTCCAGCACCCATAACCACCATGCCACATGCTGGCCCCTCTCAGTCTCTCTTTACCTCTCTAGTGGGCACACATGCCCTATGGCAAAAACCTTAAAAAAGAAAAGGGAATCAGCAGTTAGCGTAATGGCTATGTTGCTGGACTCCCACGTAGTCGACCGCAGTTCGTGTCCCGGACTCTGTGGCTTAGAACTCATGCCGGGCACGTGTGCATGCGTGCCCAAGATCCCGAGAGGAGAATGGAGGAGAAGGGATTGCAGCATGGCCATCCACTGCACCGGCCATCCCCCCTGGGGAGTGACTTCTCACTTTTCTTCTCACTGTCTGTCCCCCCTAGCCCCAAGGGCACACACCCTAAGGTAAAAAAAAAAAAAAAACCAAACCAACAAACATGCTGTGCGTGTGTGCACCCAAAATCCCAAGAGGAGAGTGCCGAGGGATTGCAGCATGGCCTCCCCACCCCCACCCCAGGGAGTGATTTCTCACTTTCCCTATCTCCCCATCTCCTTCTTTCTCTTTCTAACTAGTGTATGTGCCCTATAACAAACTAGAAAAAAAAAGTTCATTTTTTCAGAACTAAACCAATCTGTCATTGCTTCTTGGCCTTTTGGCTAAAATTGAGTGTACTAAATCTGGAACTCCCTGGCTTTCCCTTCTAAAACTCTGAATGGAAAGGCCCCTGTCTCTTTAGGGCCTCTTTAGGCTAGCCCAAGAAAAGCTGTCCAGCTAGCTGTGTTAACATTTGAGAAGCAATTTTCTCAGTTTAAATGCCTAGACCCCAGTATAAGAAAGACAACTGAAATTGCTACTTTGTAAGCCTGGTTTTTTGAGCAGCTCAGTTAAAATACTTGACAGGGACAGTAGGCAGCATGGTGGTTAAGGTGCTGACTCCAGCATGGCTGACCATGAGGCCCAGACCTGGCGGCTTAAAAATCATGTGGAGGGAAGAGGGCCGGCAAGTGGCATGGTGGTTAAGAACACTGGACTCCCACATGGGTGACTGTGGTTCAAGTCCTGGACCTGGTGACTTGCTTTCTCACTTTCTCTCCCCCTCTCTTGCTCTCACTCTGCTCCTCTCTGGTCAAATTTAAATTAATTAAAATAAAATAATGCTTTTTTTTTTTTAAAAAAAAAAAAAAAGAGAAAAATACTGGGTACATGTGCTTATGTGCCCTAAATCCAAAGAGGGGAAAGGAGGAGAAGGGATTGCTGCATGGCTATCTCCCTGGGGGAGTGGAGGTGATATCTCACTTTCTCTCTGACGAGTGCATGTGCCCTATTGAAAAAAATCCCAAAATAAAAAATAAATTAAGAAAACACTTGGCAGAGGACTTTAGTCAAAGACTAGAGTGGACTTGAGGATCATTTATCCTCACCACCTGTTAGTATAGGTAGCTTTGTGCCAGGAACAGTACGCTAGTCAAATGTTTCAGTGTGGAAAGTGTTGATAGAGGGACCAACAGCTGGCGTAGCAGTTATACCACTGGACTCCCACATGGCTGACTGCGGTTCAAGTCCCAGGCCTGATGACTTCAAAGTTATGCCAGGCACATGTATGCATGCATGCCCAGGGTCCCAGGAGGAGAAGGGGTTACTGTGTGGCCATCCCCCTGGGGGGCGATTTCTTATGTTCCCTGTAACTGTCTCTGTCTCTCATTCTGGCATGCACAGGTGCCCTAAGGCAAAATTTTTTAAAAATTACTATTAAAAAAAAAAAGTTCATAGAAAACTGAAAATTTGCAGGACCAGCAGGTGGCATAATAAAGTGCTGGACTCTCTGATGACCAACTGTGGTTTAAATCCTGGACCTTGTGGCTTGAAACTCACACTCGGCATGTGTGTGGGTGTGTGTCCAAAATCCTGAGAGGAAAATAGAGAAGGGATTGCGGTGTGACCATCCCCTCTGGGGTGGGGTGATTTCTCACTTTTTCTCATGCGCTCCTGGGTTGTGCACACACCCTATAGCAAAAAACTCTTTAAAAAAAATAAAAAGAACACTGAAATTTGCATCAACCTCATTAGTAAAATGCCAGTGACTTTCAAAGCAAAATTCAGACAGGAATTTGCATAGCTCAAGGTAAATTGAAGTATTATGGGACAGTTACTTAAAACTAAATGCTTGTAGGGACCAGTAGTTAGCGTAATGGCTATGTCGCTGGACTCCCACATAGTCGACTGCGGTTCGAGTCCTGGACCTGGTGGCTTAAACTCATGTCGGGCTCATGTGCATGCGTGCCCAAGGTCCCAAGAAGAGAATGGAGGAGAAGGGATTGCAGCGTGGCCATCCCCCCTGGGGGGTGATTTCTCTCTTTGTCTGTCTCTCTGTCTGGCGAGCGCATGCGCCCTATAGCAAAAACCTTTCCAAAAGGAAAATAAAAAACTAAATGCTTGTACACTTTAAAAAAAAATAATTATTTATCTAAATTTTATTTATTCATTTATTTTAATTTGCCCAGAGAGAGAGGGAAAATGAGAATGCAAGCCACCAGGTCCAGGACTTGAACTATGGTCAGCCATGTAAGAGTGTCTAGCACCCCAACTACCATGCCACCTGTTGGCCCCAATATTTGTATACTTTTTAATACTGGACTGAATTTGTCTCCTAAGATACTTTTGTTGTTTTGGTGAAAAATGTGTGCATCATCTTTCCAGGATTCATTTTGAAAATTTCATTTTTCTACTGGGGAAATAAGATCTTTATAGTTAAGTCCTTAAAATGATCTAAAATCAGAGGTTATCACTACCACATCTTGTAGAGCAGACAAAATGAGGCTTCAACTCTGCACTGTAAAGCCAGAGGGCGCCCCAACTGCCTTTCCACCAAGCAGCTGTTTTCTTTTTTTTTTTTTCTGGGGCTGCTGCATGACGTCATAGCAGAAGGAAAAAAAAAAACACGAAGAAAACTATTTCAAAATAGACGTTTAATATAATTTTTAGGCCAAAGAAAAAAACCAATCACACATTTTCTCCAGTGGGCCATCTGCCAGAATAGGACAAGCTCAGTCTAACTTTGAAGCCCCTATTCAGTCCTACTGGCGTAATTCCCCTCGATTGATTTATGTATGGTTCTTATGCAACATAAGGTGCATTTCACTCTTGAAGTTCCCACCACCTCCACTGTTTCATTTAGCCAGAAAAGCAAGCTTCCTAATGGGAGGGACTTCTTTCCCTTTCCCTATAGAGGTTCAAGTCTAACCTTCAAGGAGTTTGAAAATCTCGAGTCTCTTGAACTCACTTCCCAGAAAAATGCACACACAACACAGCCTTCATATAATTTCATGGCATCCATGCCCTCAAATCCCACTGTAGTTTTTAAGGCCCCAGGTTAAGGAACCCCTGTGCCAGTGATTTAAGCAATGCAGTTGCCCTAGGGAAACACACGGGTCAGGTGGAGGACTGGGTTAACCATAGTGACAGCAATAATTTTTTCTTTTTTTTTTGGAGAGGTTTTTGCTATATTGCACGTGCGCTCGCCAGAGACAGAAAGCAAGAAATCACCCCCCAGGGGGAATGGCTACACCGCAATCCCTTCTCCATTTTCCTCTTGGGATCTTGGGAACGCACGCACATGCGCCAAGGCGTGAGTTTAAGCCACCAGGTCTGGGACTTGAACCATGGTTGATTACATGGGAGTCCAGCAACATAGCCATTACACTAACTGCTAGTCCCAGGAAGGAATAATCTTATAATCTGTTACTATTTTGATTTTGGAGCAGAATCTAGTTCTCTGGGTCTCTCTGCATTTTCAGGAGCATTATAATTAACAAAAGAACCTAAGCAGCCATCAGCATAGTTTGAAAGACTGAAAATAGCAGCTGTACAGGGAATGTATGGGGTTCCTCACTCAGCCCCTAAGGACCTCATTTAGCTCCTTACCCAGAAGCTTTACATTTGATTTGCAGTGAGGGGCATTTCTGATTTTATTATGAGCCCCAGGGAAAGGTGAACAGTTCCTTTTTTGTATAGAGTACACTTAAGTATTGGACAGTAAGGGTAAGTCCATGAAATCCCCCAGCCATTTCCTTTATAAATCCAGTATATATCTCCAGACATCTAACATCTTAACATGAAGAGTTAACCTATAAACTATAAACTTTCCTAATGATGTCCTGCACTGAGGTTTACCTGATGTCCTGCCCAGGAATCTAGGAACTCTTTTCAGCCTTATGGGGGGGGGAGGTATATTATCAAATCCCAACTTGTAGTAATTAAATGAGGCTGTCAAATGTCTAATCTACAAACTGCCAAAGCAGCTTTACATTTTC